CAACAATATGTGGTGTAGTAAAAGGGCTGCCTGGTCAGTCATGCCTCCAGGTGACAAGCTAGTAACAAACTACATGAGTCACCTGGTTCTTTACACATTAATACTTTTTTATTTTTTATTTTTTAATCTGGAATGTTTTGTATGATACCAGTTTGTTTTTCTGCATTACGCAACTACTTCAGTTTCTAACAAGTGTGGGTTTTTGGTTTTGGTTTTGTTTTTGCTTAAGTTGCACAGTCTGGTTCGCTTTTCATCTCTAATCTGAGCCTCTGGCTTACTTCTGCTTGGCTCATCAAAAAATAGGGGTCTTGAAAACCTTGATTTTTAAACCCAAAACAGCATTGGGAATGCACTTGTTCTGTTAACATTTAATATACTTCATTGAAAATGGATTAGTTTGAGAATTTCTTTCAATTCTTGAGGAAAGACCAATACAGACTTGAATTCTGAACAAAATTTAATCATTAATGGTATTTTAACAAGGATTATTTTATTACTGGACAATAAAAGGGAGTGGAAATAGGCCTGAAATTACTCAGTCTGAATCCAATCCAGATCAGCAATCATTTTTAGTTGACGTACTGTAGCTGGGCGGGCTGAGCAGCTGCTTGTTGCTCTGTGTTATCTACATCCGACAAGCCATACAACTGGATTGCACTGCAGTCCTTCCAGAGCTATCAGAAGTCACAGGCTGATGAAACAGCATCTCCTTTAAGAGAGTTCATCCCTTTTGAATACTTAAAAAGTGGCAGGATAGTTGAGTAGTTATCCTTACTTTTGCTGGAATGGCTCCTCTGTTACTAAACACTGAGGTGATTATTCAAGGCTCAGCAATTCACAGTTTCCAAACACAACAAATTCACAAGTATGGAAAAGGATGAACAATGTCCTGAAGAGACACTGTGATCCATCAGACCTTGAACTAGCTCTGCTACAGACTTGCTGTGTATTCATAAGCAACTCATTATTCCTACTGCCTCTGGACTGCACATTGTCTGTGTGCTGCTATAGGTGTTCACAGAATAGAGGTCCAATTGCTGTTGAATGCAACCTGAATAACAATGATATAGTTTAGGTTCCTGAGGCACAGGTTTGGTATTATTTGCATTATTAATATACTTCACTTTCTCTATGCATCTGTTGTTTTTTGTTGTGGTGTTTAGTTGTTGTTTAAAAAAAAAAAAAAGAGAGATGATGATAAAAACCCCCCCAAATGAGAGTTAGTAGAATTAAACAAGCTAATGGTTGTAGAGTACAATGAGCTTCTCAGTGGACTACACTGTGCTTGCATCAAGTGACAGCAGCAGGATTCTTACTGATTATTACATTTCTGTACAGCTTTTCTTACTAATTGTTCTCAAACTATTACTTGGTACAGTGCATTCTCCCATTTCTCCTTTTGTTGCTTCAAGCTTCTTTTAAAGTTTTCTTTGTGCTTACCAACTTACTAGATATTTCACTTTTTTGTTGCTTTCATCACAGGTGGCTAATGTTCCATTTGTCATTGGCATGCTGAGGATGCAGTGTGATCATTAAGTTAATAACCGTTTTAACTATGCCAGTCTACATTTAAATTGAAGCAAACATATGCAGAAGTAGCTTCTGTTTTACCTCTCCACTCAATCTCATTATATGTAATAGCTCAATAATCTTATTTCTATATAGTAATTATTTTCATGTTAATATCCTTTTGTGCATAGAGTAATAATGTTTTACTTGTTTCTTTGTCACCGGAAATTATCCTGGGGATTCTACAGCATGGAATAATTCAATCCTGTCACTAGCTGTGACTAATCTGTGTTGCTTTCTCTTCTGCTTTATGAATTCTGGCTCATTACCAGACTGAGCTTTGATTTCTGTAACAACAATATATGCTAAAAAAAAGTTGATTGAGACATCTGCTTTAAATAAAATGAAATGTTTCTCCTTTCTGTTATGAAAAGGTGAGAGATGTGGAGAGACATGGAGCTGTACAGAACCATGTCTCAGAGCACTAAAGGTGTCATTCATCACTAGGGCAGAGCTAGAGCTTTACTTGAAGCCTTAATAATGCTAACAGATTCATTTCCAAGAGGTTTCATTGCAGGAGCACAAAACATTTTATGAGCAATAATTATCCTTCAGGATAGGCCGGTTATCTTCAGTACTAGAAGAGAAGTTCAGGCACAAACAAGTTGGTGATTTTTGAGAATCACAACAATGAAGGTATATGGTGGGAATCCTGGCCTGTGGCCTCTTTAGGGGCTTATATTTCCACGTATCCTCTCACTTATTCTCTACTGTTTCAAAAGTTCCAGGAAGTACTGTGTTCCAATTGCATATTTTCCCCTCAAAGCCTTTCTTAAAAATGATATTCTTCAGTGAGAGCCAAAGCACATGTCAGTTCTATTGAGTGTGTGATATCTATGGACTCATGTATATATAAAGTAAATGGGCAGCTGTCAAAGGAGCTCATTTACCTTTGAACCTTTAGGAAGGGAGCTTCAGGAAAGCTGAAGATTTGATGCAAAATCACATAGTTCCTTAAAAGTGTACAGATAAACATGCATAAAGTATGGACTGTATCCTTCAGTTCCTTCTTGGAAAACCGTATGTACCCCTCCAGAACTGGCTCTTTAAAATCTCTTCAAGCACCACAGTATCACCATACTCTGTATCCTCACCTCCACATTTCTTCCTGTTTCAACTGTCCTGTTCGTTTGTTGGGTTTGGTTTTTTTTCCTCAGAGTTGCTTTAATTTAACTCTTCTTATTTTTCCTTCCAGTCTGAAATGTCTATGAGAATTTATTTACAGTATGCTCATGGGACATGTACTGCTGTGGAGATAAACTGCAATACTCCTTGTGTCTCTGTGTTGTTCTAGTTGCATCCCTAAGTTTGCAGGCAGGTTGTGAACTGAGATCTTACGGTTTCTATATTTATTTACCTCTACTTTTAAACCTGTGGTGCCTTGCTTATATTTTGGATTCCTTTGAAATCAATATAATTTTGGATACCTTTCAAGAATATTCTCTCTGGTTCAAACACACGTTGAGTAGGATGTGAAGGAGAATCTGTGACTGTACTGCAGGGGTCAGACTAGACTAGCGCTTGTCACAATAATTCTAGCGTTGACTCCAGGCACATATGGCATGAGGTTTGTTCATAATTCCCCTCCTGAAGTATTGAAATCACGGTGTGATCTGACCCAGAGGGTAAAACTGGGGCACTTAGAGCTAGAATTGCAGAGTGGGATTAAGGTTCCTCCTTCCCCCCCCCCATCCCTTTTTCTGAGATCTTGAGAATTAATTTTAAAACATGTATATGTGTATTATATCTGTGGCTCAGTTTCCAATTACCAATATTATTGGCTTTAATTCATGGTAGCTTCCTATTTCCTACTTAATATGTTTTTGAGAAATAAATTTTCAAATCTAATTTTGCTACAGTTAAAGTAACTCAACAGGCCTGAAAAGCAACAAGAGGCAAAACTATACTTAGAGGATCAATGTTTTATTGAACAGCAGTCAAAAGAATGTAGAACATCTGTTGAGTACTGTATTGCAGTTCTGACCACCTGTTAGGTAGGTGGATTTTCAGAACACTCAGGAGCCTTACTCTTTACATGTCACTACTTTGTCAATGACAGAGCTGTAACAAAACTTCTTAAACCATCCACGCTATACCTCAAGTAAATATACCCCAACACACACAATGATTTCTGATAAAAAGCCCATCTTCTAGAGGCAGTAAATAGCCTTACTCTATCAACCAGTTTTGCAACCTGAGTTTTAAGAACAACTACTGTCAGATGACTGTTGTTGTATGAGAGCGATAGTCATTTCCCCCCCCCCAGTATTCAGTTCTCTTAAAAAATTAATGATTTCTTATATTTTTAAATTTAGTTCCTTCCTGCTGAACTGAACACAGAAGTAGCAGGCAATACTAACAGGATAACTTAAAACAACAAGAAAGCCAAAAGAGCCTCCTTGCCCCTCAAAAAAGAAAAGAAAAAACAAACAAACAAACAAAAAAACTCAAGGAAAAAAAATATAGGGCCCAAAGAATTTATTTTTCTATCTTCTAGAATTCCATTAATTTGTTTCCATACTGGGAGAACAGGTCTTTGTAAAACTAAGCTGATGCAGAGAGATGCGTTTTCGGATGCTTTTTGGTTGAGATTTTGTAGTTTTATTTTTACTCCATGTTCCTGTTGGAAATTCTTCTTAGCTTAGTCCATCATGAGGGGCTTTGGAATTCATCTCATAATTAGTTGAGCAGGTTTTTTTTTTTTTATTTCAGATACTTTTTGGCTCCTCTATTCTGCATAATCATTTTGACCTCTCCTTTTTCTTTTCTTTTTTCTTTCCCCCCTCTTTTTCATGGGGTTGGAACAGGCCTCCTTTCAGGGATATGTCTGCCAAAATACACAGGCACTCTATGTGTTAGTGTCTCAAGTCTTGTTTGAAATTAATCAGTGCTCTCAGTAGGAACACTCACCTCCTCAGAGGAATAGGCCCTACATCAGTTCCAGTCACATCTTTAGCCATTCTCTGGGCTCTGCTGTTGATCGTGCTGAGATAATGGAATGGCATGAAGTGTTTCAAGAATTGGGAATGGGAGTGGGAAACCCTCATTGGTTTACACTAAGACAGGACTCTTAATGCTTGCAAGTAATTGCTTTGAATGAGCTTGGTAGCTAATGCTATTCTTTCAAAATGTGTCGTCATACCAACTAAGGAACCAGAGCTGGAGTGAACACTGGGTTAGGATTCCCTAGGGTTATGATAGATTCTGACTAGAAATAAAGGTCACTTGACTTACGGATTCTTCAAAATGGTTACACTGAAAGTAACAAGCAAAACACCACAGAAACCAGTGAATGTAGCACTCAGCTAGAAGGTGCATTAATAGCACTTACTCCATAGCCAGGTAGCTCTGTGGTTGAATTTGCATTCCTAAAAAGCCCTGTTAAGATAGTTTGACCAGCTTCATTTATTTTCTCTCTTTTTCACATGCAGATCAACTTGACATCATTTCAATGGCTGAAACAACAATGATGCCCGAGGAAATAGAGCTAGAGATGGCAAAGATCCAGAGACTTCGGGAAGTCTTAGTCAGAAGAGAATCAGAACTCAGGTTTATGTAAGTATCAATTCCTCTCGGAAACACTATGCAAAATTAATCAAAATAGCAAAGAATGCTACTTAGAAGACTTTTATCTGCTTGACATTTTAAAAGGAAGAAAGATAAAGAGCATCCCAGCTAGGTGAATGCTTGCAAAATGCCACTGGGAAATGATTTTTGTAGTTGCAAAGGAAATTGTCTTTTTTATTCAGCATGATTTGCAGACGATAAAAATGGGATGTGTTACGTACAAAAGGAAACTTCAGCAAAGTACGTGTCTACAGAGCATATTTTTGTACCTGACTTCAATCCTGTGTGGAAAGGATATTTGTCTGAAGGAAATATTAACAGGTAGGAGATTGGAGCTTCTGAAGTCTAAACTATTTCAGGCTTTATTCCTCACTTCATTAGTGGTCTTAGTTCATGACACAAGAGTGCACGCTGTGTTCCACAGTAACAGCAGCCAAGATTTGACGTTTCTAAATGAAAGCCATTAAGTTATAAACACAAAATACATTTCCATAGATCAAATTAAATAACAGTATTCCATGAGAGATTTTCAAAACTGCCGAAAGGGTCAGACATAGGAGCCCAAATGAATGTTAATGAATACCAATAGAGTTCTGATGATGGAGTCCATAGAGTTTGTGTTCTTAAATTGCTGAATCACTTAAATCACTTAAATTAGCACATGCTTCTTTTAATAGCCTTTGGGAATTAAATATATATATATATATTTGACTTTGTCTCATTAAAAAAATATATTTTACTTTTTATTCCTAACAATAAAGACAAATGAAAAGGATGTTGCAAGTAATACTCAAGTAGTACAGCAGCAGATGTTCTTTACTGCCTTTCATTCTAAATAGCTTTCACTCACAGTGAGTCAGTTTTATTTATCTTTTAACAACATGCTGACTATTAACCTCCTGTTGGACAAACATCACAACTCAGTTATCTCAGTGGCCCAAGTTTTGTACCTGCTTAGCCAGACAAGTTACCTAACTCTAACTCATGGACATGCTGGAGAAGGCTTTATATGCAGCCATATGTATTTCTTTCATTTATTTCCTGAAGGAGTGGATTGCTAGTGCTCCAAGACTAGAAATCTGTGATAGGTTATGATTTTAAGTAATGTTAGGAGTTGATTTCTTCTGACAGGACTGGATTTCCCCATGAATTACCTGTAAAACCTGCATGAAACTGTGCTTGATTTGACTTGGACAGTGTGCCTGCCAACTAGTAGTGCTGCACCTATGCTCATACCAGGGAGTCAAAGATCAGCTCTAATGAGAAACAGATCACTTTAGATCTTACACTTCCTTTAGCCTTTTATTCTTTTACAACAAAAGAATAAAACATACAAATAGTAATGGAGAAAATGTTTGCATTCCCATTTTTTCTCTCACGCTGTGAGAGAAGTGAGTAACAGAATAGAAATTCCTTTGATTTAAATTGGGTGGTTTTTAGTTCCTACCAAAGCATGAACAAAACGATCAACTAATAAATTCCATATCAGTTTCACATCCAGCCATAGATTATATGTTCTTTTTTTAAAAATAATGGTTCATTCTTCTCACTGTCTCGCTGAATTTCTCAGTTTTTGTATTCACATGTAGCCAGATCCCAAAGCTAGAAGAAAGCATATTGTAGATTTACTTCAAAGAAAAAGAAAAAAAAGAAAAAAAAAGGAAGTAAGCTGGAGAGCTTATGTACTGAGTGTATCATCAGCACTAATGATGCTCTCAGCTTTACTTAAACCAGCAATCACCACAGCTTTTCACAGCATGGACATTGTATTTTATAAGCATTTGCACTCAAGAATAAGAAACAAAACACTCCAAACCAAACCTGTTTTTGATGAAAATCAGTGCAAACTCTTCCCCTGTTAGAGCTATGGAGGCTTAATTCCTGGAAAAAACTTGTTCTAACTACTAATTGAAATTATTGTTTTCTTCAAAGAAGAAGTACAAAGCAGACTGAGATAGAATAATAATGAAACTCACTGTCACTGATTTTTGAAACAGCTCTGCAACAGTGTTTATTGAATTTCAATACTGTTACTGTTATGCCAATATTTTGCATGAAGAAATGCAGTAGCCTTGAAGTAAAGCGCATGCAGCAGAGAACTGATCCAGGTTAGCATAGCAGCCAGTACAAATGCAGAAGAAACAGATCTAGGAAGGTCTAGGAAGGCCTGGACGCTCAGAGGGACAGCAGTCAATTTGCATGTTCGCACTCTTCTATACGTGAATCAGCTGATGTGCAAGATCATCGTGAATATTCTTTCAGGCAGTTCCTCAGCTACTGTCTGTATAGTATGTCTGTGGGGTTTTCTCGGCCTCAAGGAACACGAACTCCAATGAGGGAGTCCTTAGCAAGATACACAGTCAGCTTTGCTTACATTGAAAGTTAAGGCACTGAGGCCTTATTGTAGTGGGTGTTAATGTAAGGATTAACATTACCTTTCCTCTGCTAAACAAAGTAACACCGGTGACTAATGAAGTCTGTAGGACAACAAAAGGGATAAATGAAATATGTCGCTCCTCTGTCATTACAGCAGTGTACTTTACTGTGCTCACAGGTGCTAACACTTCAGTATCTAAATAAAATCTTTACAGAGTGGTTCATCATCACTAACAGCTTTAGAAGAGTCACCCTGTAGGGTGAAAGAAAGAGTAGGACGGCAAAGAAATCAAAGCCAGTTACTTAATCATCATTATTAACTCAAAGCAAGACCTGGCAGATCTGAGGAAAGGAATCAGGCAGTGGAATTAAGCTTAGAAAAAAATTGATTTAATGGTATCGAGCGTAAAAGGTAGTACTGAGCAGTGTTCAAAAACCATGCAACACTGTGTATGTGGTTCTTTCTGATATAAATCCAAGCAGATTCTGTTTGCCCTCTTATCTTCCAGCCAATGCCTATCACACATATCAGTAGGTCAACACTGGATTTTCAGTTTTCAAAATTAAAGAAAATGCCCATTGTATTTGAACAAATTTCACATACATTTCTGTGATCACGTATTGATTTAAAATACCAAAACTTGTTCTTTTAGTTAATTAATTCCTCTCTTTTTAGTTCCATCTCTTTGCAGCAGTCTCACTGAATAAGCAACTTACTTTGTGCTCTACAGGATGCTAAAATTACTTACAGCTTTGCTCCAAGTCAATGACAAAAAGATTCCTCTCTGCAGGTAGAAAATTTCCACCTTTTGAAAGAGATTTGGAGTCAGAGTCACTCTCAGGATGCTGAAATCAGTCACCAGATAAGAGAACTCACCCTGCTGCAGGTTCATGGTCCTGGTTAAAGGGGAAGGGCACCAATAACCCCTTTAACAAGGAACATACTTTATACTTCAGTTTTAGAGGGAGCCCTTTCCACTGTGGAACCACAGGAGGCAATGCCAATGCCTGCTGGTTCTCGTGGGTGAAACAAGCATTTAGACTGTATGAAGGAAAATGAGATGTGTGGCAGCTCGACCACATGATACAAAATGGCCACCCAGTCTGTGGCATGTGATATAAAATGGCCACCCAGTCTGTGAGAACTCAACTGCGTGATACAAAATGGCTGCCTGGTCTGAAGGAGCTCAGCCACGCAATACAAAATGGCCACCCAGTCTGTGAGAACTCAACCACATGATACAAAATGGCTGCCCAATCTGTGTGTGCTCAGCCATGTGATCAAAATGGCTGCCCAGCCAGTGGGAGCTCAGCCACGCGATACAGAATGGTCACCCATCTCTGGTACCATTGCACAGACCTTCTCTTGATACCTACCTTCCCGTTCCAGTGGTTTTCAGGAGTTTTTCCTTCCTTACAGGCTCCGTGTGCTTCCTTTACTTTGTCCCAGGCTGTATGGCACGAAGGGCCGTGGGCTGCCAGCTAAGCTCTCAAAGCACTGTGTTTTTCCATGACCGTCTCTGATGACTATGACTACTGCTGACAGCTTTCAGAAATTGCATCATCCCCCACCAGAGAAAAATTTGAGCATAGACTTCATCAAAATTGTCTTAAAATTCAGAAGATATCCTTAGGATGGTGTTTCACATTGTATCCCTGTACTGGGCTCACCAATCATGTATGGGCCACAGCTCCCCAGAGCACTATCTGCTGTTTGTAGTGCCAGACCAGCAGCTGTCTGTTGAAGAGGAATACCTGTGTTTTCTCTAAGATGGTGGTGGTGTGTGCCAAAAAGGGCAGCTTTCTGATTTTACTTGTTTTTAGTGATACAAAGAAATATGGGAAGCAGAATCAGCTGAAACAATCACTTTACAAGTCACAGTGTTTCTCAGACCTTGGTGCAACCTGCATATCAGATATCAGCCTTTGTAGGCCTGTCCTTCGCTTTGCTCCCTGCTATTGTTGCCTCCTTTAAGAAAAAGAAGGGCAGCTGAAGACAGCTGTGCTCTTCCCGTGTTATTTCCAGATGAATACATACTTGCTATGGAAAATTATCTGATGTTTATTTAAAGCACACTTTCAGATTATAAAATTAAGATTTCCTCAATTAAATAATGCCCGTATTTGCATTGTACAATCACATTTTAGACAAATGCCTATGCACAAAAATCTACACAACTTATAGTGTGTAATTTCTTTAAGTTATGCTATCTCCAGCTCTTCCGGGTTTATTTCCAGAGGAGCTGAAGTCTCAGCCCGCAGTGATAGGAGACAGACAATATGTACGTAAGAGCATCAGTTTATAGCTAGCTGGCATTCCCTCTCATTCTTATCTCATACTTCTCTCAGCTGATTCCCTAAAATGTTCTCTGTAAGATGAGTTTTGGGTCAAAATGTAAATTTTCAATCTGTCTTTGCGCCTGAGGAGAGTAAACATACCACTTTAGAACATGCATGCTCTCCCTTTCAAATTCTTACGTCCCACTTCCATTTATTCTTTCCTAGTGAGATGACAGACCCAGAAGCCAAGAGAGCTGCTCATGCGGCTTTCTCCTCATTGCACATTTAATGTGTTACTGCTCTGGATGCTTGTGTGGGGCTTTAGAAGCAGT